CCCCACTCCTCACGGTAACGAGGCCGCTGGGGGAGATTCTTCCCCCCCCGCCCCCCAGTAACGAGGGCCTCTGAGGCAATTGTCTCCTCAGGGTAAGGAGGGCACTTGAGGGGATTTCCCCCCCCCAGTCCTTCCAGTAACGGGGGTCTTTGAGGTCATTGCCCCCCAGTCCTCCCAGCTACAAAGGCCTCTAAGGTAGTTGGCTCCCCAGTGCTCCCAGTAACGAGGGCCTCTGAGGTAATTGGGTCCCCAGTCCTCCCAGTAACGGGGACTTCTGAGGTAATTGTACCCTCACAGTAATGAGGGCCCCTGGGGGGATTTCCCCCCTAGTCTTCCCAGTAATGAGGGCCTGTGGGGTAACTGGGTCCCCAGTCCTCCCAGTAACAGGGACCTCTGAGGTAATTGCCCTCCAGTCCCCCCGGTAATGAGGGCCTCTGAGGCCATTGCCCCCCACCCCCCGAGTCCTCCCAGTAACAAGGGCCCCTGGGATGATTGCCCCCTTCCACCAGTCCTCCCAGTAACGAGGACCTCCGAGGTACTTGCACCACCCCCCAGTCCTCCCAGTGAAGAAGCGATGCCACCTCATGGGGGAGTAATTGTTTAAAGAGGATCTGCAAACAGAAAACAGGAGTGGCAGCCCCAGAGTCTGACAGTGATTTCAGGGCCTGTGTACCCCTGAACATTTGTGCCATGCTTAAATGGGGATTTGGGAACCACCAAGAGCAGATGCTGGTTAGGAGTCCCAGCCAGTCCTGGGGGCGTCCAAACTGTGAGGCTGGTGGGGTCCCGCTCCCCTCCTTTGGGATTTACACAACAGCAGAAGAGCACAAGCCCTGTCCCACTCTCCCTCCCTCAGCAGGCACCAAACAGCCCCCAGCGTGCTGCTTTTTCCACCTGCGCTCCTTTACTACAAGACCTCAGGAGATGATTCAGCTCTTGGGAGGCTGGGGCCTCAGTAAGATACTTTCAGGGCTGTGGCTTCAGCTCTCGAGCCTCCCCAGAGTGAGGCAATGTGTGGGGTACAGAGAAATCTACATTTCTTCTGCTTTCCAGGTATGGCCAGGAACTAACAGTGTATATAACTTACATTCCTGGCTGTATTTCTTTCTCTCAGAGTTTCTTAAAATACATTAAGAGCATTTTATCAGCAAAGAACATATCTGATGATTGAGAAAACTTTTGATCGTCCCAGACAGGGAAGGCCATTCCTTAACAGAAGTGCTATTTCTAATCCATCTGTTTTAAAAACAATTGATACAAATTAAGGGGAATGGCAGTTAATACAACCAGATCCTGGTGCTGATGGCTTTATCCACCTCTTCTGTAAATGTTGAAAATGTTTTCCTTGGACTGTGCTATTCATCATCGTTATTTGAGAACTGTATCACGGTATCATTTTTAAAAAGTAGAGGTTGTCTTGGCTTGGAAAACCCTGGCACGTGGAAAACAGATGAAATTTTACCAGGATGTGACAAAAGCAACCTGAAAGCAGTTGTTTCCAAGACTGGCTGGTGTTTGGATCCCGCACACTTGCTCCTCCAGCAGGCTGGTGGCATTTATCCGAGTTGTCCCCAGAGTCCTCCAGCAAAAATACTGAGGAATGAGCTCAATGTCCCTGATGAGACCTGGTGAGATGAAGGAGCCCCTGCTGCTCTCTGATGATGCCAGTGATCCCGCTCGTTCCCAGCTGCATCGCTGAGAAGAGCTCCTCCATGATGGACTGGGTGAGGGCTGCCTGAGGGATGCTGATGGCTGTGTGAGGGTAGGAGCAGCATCTTATGGTTTCAGGGCCCCCAAATTCATTGCTTATCTGCTAATGATGCCTCCCTGTGCTGGGCAGGGTGCTGGGACGGGTTAGCCCTTTGGCTGCTCCTGCTGCAGTTCATGGACAGCATGTGTCTCAAACCTCATTTTAGGGTGCAAAAGACTCCCCTGAGGGAGCGAACCAAGGCTGATGGTACAGCCTCGCACATCCACCACCACCCAAATCAGGAGGGGCGATGCACCCTGTCCCCCCACGGCTCGGAGCTGGGCCTCGGCAGGGTGAGGAGGGGGATGTGGCAGAGTATGGGGCTCACCACCTGGCCCCATCTTTGCTCCCCACATGGTGGGGGTCTCCACAGCTGGGGGTGGGTGTAAGGGGTACCCAGGGCTTGGCTGCCCCACAGCCAGGGTCTGCTCCTGCCCCCCTCCCTCTAGGGCTGGACGAGGCCCCTGGGAGACTCCTGCCCCCCATGGGGGCTACTAAACCCCAAGGGGGCTCCTGCCCTCCGAGAGAGTTCTCTGCCCCCCCAGGAGTTTTCTGGCCCTCCCCAGGGGGGATCCTCTCCCCCAGGAGCGGTCTTGCCCCCCAAGGAGGTTTCTGCTCCCCCAGGAGGACTCCTGCCCCACAGATCC